AGCGGTGGCTTGGTGTACTAGAGGGCCGCCTGACCTTGAGAGCCGAAGTATCCGAAAGGTCCAGTTCTTTCCCCTATTGGTGTCAGGCAGGCCTGACCCTGCTCTGGGCCTGAATGTCCTCGGTTCGGTAATGAAGGCCTTCATCTGAGTGTCTGAGTGAGGCTCCTGCCAGCTCTAAAAGGATTATATGAACACCACCTAAACTCAGTGTAGTTTTGCGCTCTGGGCATGAAGATACCCCTAACTGTGCCTCCTCCTGCCTGTCTCTCTTTAAAGGCCACGGGAATGTTAGCTCCTGGCTTTCTGTCAGGTGACGTCAGCCTGGGAGAGTAGGGAGGCTGGGGGAGTGCCTGGGACGTGATGGACTCCGTGTACCTGCACATGTGTTCCACGTGTGCATGGAAAGCTTCACTGACAACTGCAGCCTTTCAGATAAGAATGGAGTTCCAAGCCTGGACAGCCTGTCCTCTTTACCAGAGCCCCTGTCACCTTAGCACAGGCTTCTCCCTGACTGTTTTCAGTGCCTGAGTTTTTGTTTTCATTCATAAAAACTTGGGTATAGCTGAGTTGTCATCACTTGTCCTTCCTTGTCTCTGGGCCAGCGAGCTCACGGTCATCTGGAACTGGAGTAGCACCTGAACTCTGTCCGTTGTTCTGCTCTCCTTGGCCGAGGGCCTGGACTGCCCATCTCTTTTCTTTGTGTGTCTGGGAGCCTTGCAGTTGCTAGACCAGGCTGTTCTACCAGCATTCTAGTCTATCTTCTCTTTTTCGTTTCTTTTTTAAAAAGGATTTATAAAAAGTTGTTTTTTTTTTCCCCCTTTAAGAAAGATAGTCATTTTATAGTATTCTCTGCTTTAATCCTGAGCCAACTACTGAAGAGCAAATAGAATACCAATTGGAGGTTGATAAGCTTGAGAAGGGGGTTTTCTTTCTATAAATATAAGTAAATTTCTTTTCTAAAACAAGCAAAGCCAAGTTACATTTCCAACTAAGGGGATTTTTTTCTTTCCTCTGGGATCTCAGTGATAATCTCAAATTGAGGGACAGTGTAGGAGAGAAGATGAAAACCAGGTTCTGAAGCCAATCCTGCCTCTGCCACTTCCTAACTTAACATCTGCACTTCAGATTTTACACCTGCAAAATGGGATAATAACAACAACCTCATGTGATGGGTGTGAAGAAGAAATAAAATAAGGGAACCAGCAGTTAGCGTAATGGCTATGTTGCTGGACTCCCATGTAGCTGACCGCGGTTATCATCCCGGACCCGGTGGCTTAGAACTCACACTGGGCGCGTGTGCATGCATGCCCAAGATCCAGAGAGGAGAATGGAGGAGAAGGGATTGCGGCGTGACCATCCCCCCTGGGGGGTGATTTTTCACTTTCTGTCTCTCGGTCTCTCTCTGTCTGTCTGGCGAGTGCATGCGCCCTATAGCGAAAACCTCTCAAAAAAAAAAAAAAAAAAAAAAAAAAAGAAAAAAAAAAGAAAAAGAAAGAAATAAAATAAGTACCTGTCATTAGTATCAGCATTCTGATGCTGAGAGAAAGGCTAAATAGTTGATGAGAAAACATTGGATCCAATTTTTCCTCTTACTCTCAAATCATTTTTTACATGCCTCTCTCCCCATCTCTTTTACCCACTCTGTGGAGGCTTTGGGACTAGCCGTGTGGCCCTACCATAGACCATCTTTTGACTTGTTCCCAGTAGAAGAGGGGTCTAGCTTTGCTTCTCTGTGCAAATGGAACTTATCCCTTCTCCAATGGGGAACTGACACCCTCTAAAAGATTGCTCTTTCATTGAAAGATTAATTCATTGCTCCCTTTTTTCTGTCTCTGAGATTTATCTTTCTCCTACCAAAGGTAGCCTCTTTAAGAAAATAGCTGAGGAGGTTCGATGAAAAATAAAAACCACCAGCTGCTAGGACCATCTGGGTAAATTTTAAATGCTGCAGTTCAGATCACAATATAGAGCCATAATAATATCCCTATAAAAATAACAATAGTTGCTATCTATTGAGAATTTACTGTGTGCCAGATACTTTGATGTGTGTTGGATGTGCACTATAATTAAGGTGGAACTGAGGCTTGAGGAAGTTAATGTGACCAGTGCCCTGTAGTGAGTAAGTTATAGAGAGCTGAGGCTCTTACTGAGGCCTGAGTGATGTCAAAAATGAAATGTTGTCAACTCACTTGGATTCTTTTTTTTTCAGAGGTTTTTGCTATAGGGCACATGCACTCACCAAAAACACAGAGACAGAGAGACAGAAAGGAAGAAATCACTCCCCAGGGTGGATGGCCATGCCGCAGTCCCTTCTCCTCCATTCTCCTCTTGGGATCTTGGGCACGCACGCACACGTGTCCGGTGTGAGTTTAAGCCACCGGGTCTGGGACTCAAACCGTGGTCGACTACATAGGAGTCCAGCAACATAGCCATTGCACTAACTGCTGGTCCCAGCTCACTCAGATTCTTATTACTGAAGCAGTGAAACTCTACTTCAGCATGAAACTATCTAATAAGAATGAACAATTCTGTGAAAAATGCTCACAACTGCAGCTCTGAATTTGGCCTTTTTCCCCCTCCTATATTAGTTCCTTATTGCGTTGCTATCAGAAATACCTCAGGCTGGGTGATTAAAAAGAAATAGAGGTTGGGCCCAGTAGGTGGCATGGTGGTTGAGGTGCTAGACTCCCACAGTTGACCAACTGCAGGTTCAAATCCTGGACCCAGCAGCCCAAAAATCATAACACATAAATGAGTAAGTAAGTAAGTAAATAAATAAATAAATATTTTAAAGAAAAGAAATAGCCGCTAATTGACTCATGCTTCTCATGACTGGGAGGTCCAAAAGCATGGACGGGCCAGGAGGCTAGCCTGCGACATGACCGACAGAAGTGAAGATAAGGGTGGGTACACTCAGAGAGAAACACATTGTAGGCAGCTCTCTTTTATAAAACTCACTCTCCTGAGAATTAATATTTTCTCCCTAGTGCTAGTACTCATTGTCTCACTAGACAACATTAAGCTGTTCTTGAGGCCGATGCTTCCATGATCCAATCACCATAATCTAATCACTGACCACTAGATTCCAAAACATGAATCTTTGAGGGACAAACCATGACCCAAACCATAACAGTTTCTAAAGCCATTCTAGAAATGACTGGGCAATCCTAGTCTTATGCAGTTCAGTAGATGGAGGGTCAGGAACAAGCAATTGAGAACCAGGAAATTGGTTTCTATTTTTGGTTCCCCATTCACCAGCTGATGTTGGGGCTTAATTACAGATTAAATAAATGGGGGAGGGTGACCAGCAGATGTCGTAATGGTTATCTTGATAGACTCCCATGTAGTTGACCACAGTTTGGGTCCTGGACCCAGTGGCTTAAGACTCACTCTGGAGGTGTGTGGGTATGTACCTAAAATCCCAAGAGGAGAATGGAGGAAAAGGGTTTACAGCGTGGTCATCTCTGCTAGGCGGGTGATTTCTCACAGTCTATCTCTCTGGTGAGTGTACATGCCCTATAGCACAGTCTCTCAAAAAAGAACAGAAAAGAAAGAAAGAAATGAGTATAAAAATTTGTCAGTCCAGGACCAGCAGTATCCATGATGGTTGAGGACTGGACTTCCACATGACCGACTATGGTTCAAGTCTTGGAGCTGGCAGCTTGCTTTCTCACTTTCTCTCTTTCTCTCGAGCATGCATGCCCTGTAGCAAATTAAAAATAATCATAATAATAAACAAAATTAAACAATTAAAAAAAATTTGTCAGTACCTCGGCACATTACCTGGTCTTTTGAGTTCCAGCTTCTTTATTTCAGTGAACGCAAGTGAAATAATTCGTCATAACACTTGCCATATATTAAGTGGTGGCAAGGTTTTCTTTTGTCTTTACCATTATGTGACCCTGAACAAGTCCGTTAACCTCTGTCCCTTAGTTTCCTATCTTTATTTATTTATTTATTTTTTAGAGAGAGTTTTGTTACAGGGCTTGTGCACTCACTGGAGAGACAGAGAGACAAAAAGTGAGAAATTACCCCCAAGGGGAGATGGCTACACTGCAATTCCTTCTCCTCCATTTTCCTATCAGGATCTTGGGCACGCACACGCACGTGGTATGAGTTTTAAGCTGCCAAGTCTAGGGCTTAAAGCAGGGTGGACTACATAGGCGTCCAGCAACATAACCATTACGTCATCTGCTGGTCTGCAGCTTCCCATCTTTTTTTTTCTTTTCTTTTTTTTTGGAGAGGTTTTTCCCACAGGGCACATGCGTTCCCCAGAAAGAAAGAGACAGAGAGACAGAAAGCAAGAAATCACCCCCTGGGGGGATGGCCACACTGCAGTTCCTTCTCCTCCATTCTCCTCTTGGGATCTTGGGCACGCATGCACACGTGCCCGGTGTGAGTTTAAGCCACTGGGTCCAGGACTCGAACCACTGTAGACTAAATGGGAGTCCAGCAACATAGCCATTGTGCTAACTGCTGGTCCCAGTTTCCCATCTCTAAGGGAGAGGAAGACTAGCCTAGAGTAGGCAGTACACAGCAGGAGGGCTCCCACTACTCATTTTTGCTCCATGAAAAAAATGGCTGATTGGGAACCAGCAGTTAGCGTAATGGCTATATTGCTGGATTCCCACGTAGTCGACTGCGGTTCGCGTCCCGGACCCGGTGGCTTAGAACTCACGCCGGGCGCATGTGCGTGCGTGCCCAAGATCCCGAGAGGAGAATGGAGGAGAAGGGATTGCGGCATGACCATCCCCTCTGGGGGGTGATTTCTCACTTTCTGTCTCTCTGTCTCAGTCTGTCTGGGGAGCTCACATGCCCTATAGCGAAAACCTCTCCAAAAAAAAATATATATATTGTTTTTTTGGAGATAATGAAATAATTGGTTTTCCCTCCCACCCTCTCTTTGGAGAGTAAATGCAAACATTTCAAGGTCACAGGCACACGGAGGATCACAAAGTTAATTTATACAGGATCACTCATGTAAGCTAGTAATACTTAAGTAATGATTGTGCCCTTTTTGATAACATATTAAGAATACTTTGCAAGGATAGTATGAATAGGACTCAGTCCCTAAATTAAGATGAATGGTGAATTTTGAGATTCCTAGTGACCTGAAGACCATATTCTAATAATTTCTTGCAGCTAAATCAGGTACTTTCTACATTGAAGGTAGAGGCAAGGCATGAAAATAGCCTCTTTTAAAAAACTTCATTTATTTAATTATTTCACTATTATTATTATTTTAAATTTGCTATAGGGGACATGCACTCACTGGAGAGAGAAAGAGGGAGAGTGAGAAAGTAAGCTGCCAGGTACAATATTCAAACCATGGTCAGTTAGGTGGGAGTCCAGTGCCTCAACCACCATGCCACCTGCTGACCCCGGAAATAGCCTCTTTTAAAGTTTTTCTTCCCTTTACAATTCTGAGATCAGAAAGCCATTAATGAAATTTCCTTAGAATTCTGACATTTCAAAGAAATGATGTGACTCATAATTCCCAAGTACCACTAGCTGACTCAGCAACAACTTGCCTTGTAGATCAGCAATGTCCAATTGAAATGGAACGTGGGACCAGCAGTTAGCATAATGCCTATGCTGCTGGACTCCCATGTAATTGACCGCGGTTCGAGTCCTGGACCCGGTGGCTTAAACTCATGCTGGGTGTGTGTGTGTGCGTGCCCGAGATCCCTAGAGGAGAATGGAGGAGAAGGGATTGCAGCGTGGCCATCCCCTCTAGGGAGTGATTTCTCGCTTTCTGTCTCTCTGTCTCTTTTTGTCTTTCTGACGAGCATACGTGCCCTATAGCAAAAACCTCTCCAAAAAAAAAAGAAAGAAAGAAATGGAACGTGAGCCACAGATGTAAAATTTTCTAGTAAGCATGAGAAAAATGGAAAAAGAAACAGGTAAAACTTATTTTATTAATAGCGTTATTTAATCCAGTATATCCCAGATATTTCTGTATATAATCGATACTTTAAAATTATTTACATCCTTTTTTCCCCATTTGCACTGTCTTTTTTTTAAGAATTGTTTTTTAAATTTTATTTATTCATTCATTTTTTTATGTCTTGGAAATTTGACCAGAGAGAGACAGAGATGGAGCGAGAGAGACAGAAAGTGAGAAAGCAAGCCACCAGGTCCAGGACTCGAACCATGGTCGGCCATGTGGAAGTGTCCAGTGCCTTAACCACCATGCCACCTGTTGACCTCATACTCTTTTTTTTTTTTTTTTTAATTAATAAACCTAGTTAATTAATTTAAATTTGACACAGAGAGAGACAGAGTTGGAGAGAGAAAGAGTGAGAGAAAGTGACAAAACAAGCCCCCAGGTCTCGGACTTGAACCATAGTTGGCCATGTGGGACAAGTACCCTTAGCCACCATGCCACCTGCTGACCCCTGACCTAGGTCTTTAAAGCCCAGTATGTATCTTATGCTTATAGCACATCTTAGTTCAGACTAGCCATGTTTCAAGTATTCATATTCAATATGAATTCCATATTCAATAGCAATTTGTAGATTGAATTTTTTAAAATTATTTTTTTATTTAACTTTATTTATTTATTCATTTATTTATTTGAATTTGACCAGAGAAGGATAGAGAGAGAGGGAAAGTGAGAAAGCAAGCTGCCAGGTCTGGGACTCAGTCTGCAGTTGGCCATGTGGGAGCCCAACGCCTTTAACCACCACACCACCTGCTGGCCCCCATAGATGGAATTTTAAATAAAACTATTTGAGTCTAACAGGTTCACCCTGTTTACTTTTGAGTTATTCTAGAGGCCGGAGGTGGTTTGGTGGTTCAGGCACTGTTCTACCACATGGAAGACTCATGGTTTGAGTCCCAGACCTGGTGGCTTGCTTTCTCACTTTCCTTCTCTCTCTGTCTGTCTCTTGTCATGTTAAATAATAATACTAAATAAGTAAATAAAAATAAATAATTCTTTAAAGAAAGAATTATTCTATAAGAAAGAACATGAGTTAGTACTTTCATTATATTTACTTACATTAGGTTGGACCATATGAAATTGATCCTTTTGCATTTCAAAATGATTACATTTTAGCAATTTCATATGGTTTAACCTAATAAATGATAACTGAATACATGTGTTTTCCTTGAAGAAACAATTTTCCTTCAAGAAGCAGTTACTGTTCAAATCTAATCTTGAATCCTTACCCCTGATATTACAAACGAGCTTTTAAAAATATTAGTCTCCCATTGTAACCCGGCTGTACACATGACCTGGAAGCTGGAAGGAGGATAGCTGGACAGGAGTGAAGTGCCCATTACATATCTCCTTTCTTTCCTGTATGCTTCATGTCACGTATCAATTCACAGTCAAACGTCTGTTACTTCGCTGCTTATATGTTTATTTAGTTTCCCATCTTGTGCATTGGGATTGGGGTTGTCCTCTTCCCTGACTGCAAGAGCACACTAAAAGGTTAGTTGTAAAAGATTTGGTCAGGTACTTGCCAAAAAGCAAGAAGCACTGATACTGGAACCAATAAAAGAGGAATCTGGTTGGGGTTGGCAGGTGGCACCATGGTTGAGGCACAGGACTCCCACATGACTGACAGTGGTTTGAGTCTCAGACCTGGTGGCTTGCTTTCTCACTTTGCCTTCCTCTCTGTCTCTCTGGTCAAATTAAAGAAAAGTGATAATAAATAAATAATTCTGAAACCATTTTTAAAAAGAGGAACCTAGCTTCACTAGCTGTAGGCTGCCAAAAAAGGAACTGTGTGACTGAAGCTGACTGTAAGTGGAAGTAACTGACAGCAAAATACTTTGGCTTTCTCTTTTTACCTTAAGAGAGGCAGAGTTGGGAGCATAGGTGCTCCAGAGATGCAGCTGCTGACAGTCTTTATGTTCACCAATCAAAGCACAAGTTTATTTCTGAATCATATATAATTAATAGACTAAACTGTCAAAACTGAACTGTTTACTTCATAATGTAAGTATAAATTATAGAAAATATAGTAATGGGAAAAAATTTTAAGTTCTATGTGTTATTTGTAGGAGAGAAGTATGGCTACCTTTCACTTCCAAAGTCAATGGTAAGTAGATGAATCGTGTACATTTCAGAATGTTTTCATTCAGAATTAAAATTATGCTCTTGCCTTCTGATACTCACTTGCCCACAGATAATTAACATTACATAAAAAAATAGGATATTAAATATTGACTGTTCAGAGTTGATATTCTCGGTAGTAATCTAGATGTGTTCCAATACCTAGAATATTCATACTGGATTTGGGGACTTGAAAAAATAGGTAACAGAATTGCAACTACTAAGAACCCATAATCTGAAGGCAGAAGTAATTTTTCTCTGTATCTTGGGTCTAACTTGCAAGAACATGTTAGAATCATTTTTGTCAAACAGAACTGTCATGTGTTTTCTACATAGATGAAAGCATGTCAGATGAGAGGATCTTCAAGAAGTTCATAAAAAAACATGAAAAAACAATGCATGAGATTAAAATTTTTTTCACAGCAAAATAAATATGTGCTTTAACTCTGTTATTTTCTGAACTTAAAAAAAAATAGACATTTATTTATCTATTTACTTGTTGTGATTTTCAAGCCAGTGGGTCCAGGACTTGAACCATAGTTGGCCATATGAGAATCTAGCATCTTAACCACCTCACCACCTGTTGGCCCTCTATGAACTTTCTAAACTACTGTTGTATATGAGAAGGAGAAACAAAGTGATAACAAGCTATGTGCTAGTGCTAATACCTCTTTGGGAAAAGACATTTTTGTCTTCTAGCTGATAGCATTTAAATATCAGTCATCTTGGGACCAGCAGGTGGCGTGGTGGTTAAGGCACTGGACACTCCCACATGGCTTAGCTGGGTTCAAGTCCTGAATCTGGTGGCTTGCTTTCTCACTTCCTCTCTCTCTCACTCTCACCCTCTATCTCTCTCTCTGGTAAAACTAAAAAATGAATGAATGAATAAAATAAAATAAATAATTATTTTTAAAAAATCAGTCATCTTACCCAGCTGACAGTTTTAAAATTTTTATTTTGTTTTATTTTAATTTGTTCTAGGGCACATATGCTCACCAGAGAGAGAGAGAGAAAAAGAGAGAGAGAAAGTAAGAAAGCATCCCCCAGAGGGGATGGCCATGCTGCAATTCCTTCTTTTCCATTTTCCCCTTGGGATTTTGGGCATAGGCACATGTGCCCAGCATTGTTTTCAAGCTGCCAGGTCTGGGTCTCAAACTGCACAGTTGCCCATGTGGGATTAATCACCTTAACCAACACACCACCAGCTGGCCCCACAGCTGACATTTGGATGCCCTTAGCAATTCCTTGGTAATACTCATTCTATAAATATCTATATTGTGGCTGGCCCTGTAGTCTAGTGGTTAAGGGAGCCACATCTCACATGGCTGAGAAGGGATTGCAGCACGACGACCCCCTATTGCAGCATGACCACACCTCTCTTTCTTTCTCTCTCTCCAACAAATGCACATGCCCCCTGACAATGAAAAAAGTAGAAAAAAATATATAGTTTTGAATAAAATGTAGTATATATGAAGCAAATGTGATAGTGAAAAAACAAATCAGTTATCAAGAAAGAACATTACTCTCGCGCTGTCAAGTGTCCTAATTAACGTTAGAGGTAGAGGAAAATGGACTTTGTAGAAGTAACTTCTGAGTAGGAAGTTAGGACAGCAAATGAGAAAATAAAAAACTTATAAATTTTTTTTCTTTTTTTTTTTTGGAGAGGCTTTTTGCTATAGGGCATGTGCGCTCGCCCGACATAAAGCTAGAGAGACAGAAAGTGAGAAATCACCCCCCAGGGGGGATGGCCACGCCACAATCCCTTCTCTTCCATTCTCTCGGGATCTTGGGCACACACACACACACACGCCCGGTGTGAGTTTTAAGCCACTGGGTCCGGGACGTGAACCGCGGTCGACTACGTGGGAGTCCAGTGACATAGCCATTATGCTAACTGCTGGTCCCAAAAAACTTACAAATTATACCCTGTATAAAATTATACTGTTTTACAGTCACAAAGAAATCACCATGATGGCTCAGAGTATTTATAAAAGAGAAAGTGTTTGTGTGAGATGGACAAAAAATTCATTCATTCATTTATCCATTAGATACTTCTTGATTACCTACCATGTGCCAGGTACTGTGCTAGGCATTGATTGACATGTTGATGAAAAAGACACTGAATTATAAATTTCACTGGTAGGAATTTTAAAAAGTAGATTTTGTTCACTGTGCTATTTGCTGGAACTGTTTGGAACAAGTTTAATGCTTAGAAAATAATGTGATCATTTGTTATTGAAAATGAACGTCACACCGTCTGCTACTATGAGGCATGTACAGTCTAGCTCACTGGAAATATAATTCAAGGCACATCAGTAATTTAATGTTTTATAGTAGTCATATTTTTAAAAGAAACTTGTAAAATTGATTTAAGAGCATTTAAAAAGTCCAGTATATCCCAAATGTTATCACTTCAACATGGAATCAACATACAATTATAGAGATCTTTTACAGTCTTTTTGTCATATGAATTCTTCAAAATCTGGCATTTGGAAGTACAGCACACCTCAGTTCGGCTTGGCCACATTTCATGTTTTCAGTAGCCATGTTTGGCTGGTGGCTACATGCTGGATAGTATAGGTTTAAGCTTGTGTAATGTGACAATGAATAAGAGGAGAGAAACATTGATGATTATGAATAGTGACCATAGAGAAAAACAGGCAGGGAGTATCGGAAGAAAAGACCGGCAATAAAGAGACAGAAAATAAAATTCTCAGATCTGGGGATGTAGCAGTGACAATGGGAATGGTTGATGGCAGAGGGGGAGAACAAACGATATATTTTTCAGTTTAAAGAAGTATCTGGGGCTGGATCTATGGCTTGCTGGTTAAGGGAGCTGGATCTCACATGGCCAACTACATGAAAATACTGGGCATGTATGCATGCATGCCCCAAATCCCGACAAGACAGAGCAATAAAAAAGAGATTGTGGTGTGACCATGCCCCTTTGGGTGGTGCTTTCTTCATTCCCCTCTCTTTCTGTCTGTCTGTCTGTCTCTGGTCAGCATGTGTGTCCTGTGGCAATTAAAAAAAAAAAAAACAATTTAACTGTGTAGTGTATTTGTTGAAGAGGGACTGGAATATAATACTGGAATACAGCATTAGAAAACCTAATGTAGCTGGTGAAAAAGCAGTCATGACACTAAAAAATAATTCTGTGGCTTTTGTGGAGAACCGTTTCTGTACCTTAAGGTGAACCCAGAATAGTTTGAAAATTTGGATAGAAATTTGTTATTTTTCTTCAGGATTGAGAGAGAGAAAGGGAGACAGGTACAGGTATGTGTGCCTGGCAGGGTCTCGCTGTGTTTACAAGCCTGCACAGCCTCCCAATTAGTTAGGATTGAAAGCACGTGCAACTGGTACCTGGCCTGTTCAGGCTCGTTCAGGAACCACGCCCGAGCCTCATGTCTGGTTTCCAGATTTGTGAGCAGTGGTGCCACTGCAGCTGTGGGTCACCACAGCTGGGTCTGTTTTTGTTATTTTAAGCCATATTAGCCCAAACAGATGGTTTTATAGCTAATATCCAATGGGATTTAAGATAGTAATGATAGACTCATTGTTCTTTTAAGTACTGTAACTTAGGGCTACTACAAAATATTATTTTTGACAATTAGAGAAGACGTCTCAGCTCTTAATAGGTTCAGTGGAGCAAAGTATTTTATTGCACTGAATAGTGTTTTTTATCTTTAGCAACAAGTCATTTCAGAATCATGGACCGTTGCCTAAGTTGAAGGAAAACTGTAGCTCTCTTTTTTAGGAAGCAGAGTTGGAGGCTGGTGCTATTTATATTTAGAAGCTTGAATTCCCCGGTCTTACAGAAATGAAACTGATACATCTGACTGCATAGTGTCCGCTAGATGGCAAGCGTGGTTACATTAAGATGCCTTATTTACCTTTTCACCAATCCTTTTTCAGTCTTCATTAAACACTTTAATACTAATTTATAAATGTGAAAATAAAAATAATGATAATACAACAAAAGTTAAAAGAAAAAGATGGGATATAAAATTTTAAATAAAATAAAACCTAAAATCCTCGAGGATATTTAACTTTCTTAAATGCTTTATCAATTACTTTGTCATCTCTGAGATCAAAAAAGGAGATACAGACAATTTGACTGTACCCAGAAGAGCCAGAGAGAACACTGCTCACCTCTATTTATTTTCTAATGAACACAAGAGGCATCCAGTATTTGTGTGTGTGTGTGTGTGTGTGCGCGCGCCCATGTACACACGCACAGGAAACGTTATGGTTCCTCTATGTTTACTTGCCACATTTTTTTTTTTTTTTTAAGTTTTTAAATTTTTTTTTTTTTTTGGAGAGATTTTCACTATAGGGCGCGTGCGCTCGCCAGACAGAGAGAGACATAGAGACAGAAAGCGAGAAATCACCCCCCAGGGGGGATGGTCACGCCGCAATCCCCTCTCCTCCATTCTCCTCTCGGGATCTTGGGCATGCACGCACACGCGCCCGGCGTGAGTTTTAAGCCACCGGGTCTGGGACTGGAACCGCGGTAGACTATGTGGGAGTCCAGCGACATAGCCATTACACTAACTGCTGGTTTCCTTTTTTTAAAATTTCTGAAGGTGGAGTATACTTGCCAGAGAGAGACAAAGAAGGAGACGGGGGTGAAAGCACCCCTCAATGGGACATGATCATATTGCACTCCCTTCTTCTCCATTTCTTCATCCTTTTGGGATTTGGTGCACACACGCATACATGCCTGGGGTGCTTTTTAAGCCACTGGAGCTGAGGTTTGGACCATGTAGTTAGCTCCCTTAACAACTAGGCTATGGGGCCAGCCCTATTTGCATTCTTTTAACTTTACCCATTTCTTTAATAGTAAACACCATTAGAAAATCTCAGAAGGGCTATGTTCAGTGAGCTGATCTAAACTCCACAGGATAGAGAAAGAAGGGAAAAGCCAAGGCTGTTTGGATCTGCAGTGAAACTGGTTAGAGTTAACAAGCCATGGCAATAATAAGGGAAACAAAGATGTGGCAGGATATATATAAAGGGATATATATATCCCTTAAAGGTATGAGTGATGATCTTTTTTCTTTAGCTAAGCAGGCAGATGAGTTTTTGTTTGTTTGTTTGTTTGTTTTTAATAATTATTATAGCATTTATACTTTGTGTGCATGTATGGGAATATATACCCAGTGTGTGTTTGTAGATGTATATAATTCAGATAAATGTTCCCTTAAAAATAAAAATGGCTCCCAGGGCCAGCAGATGTCATAGTGGTTGAAGGCACTGGACTCCCACATGGACAACTATGGTTCAAGCCCTCGACCTGGTGGCTTGCTTTCTCACTTTTCCTCTCTCTCTCTCACACTCTGTTCCTCTCTGTTCAAATTTAAATAAATAAATAAAGTTAAATAAAATAAAATAATTCTTTAAAAAAAAATGCCTCCCTGGATCTGTTGACCCCCTTTTCTCTTCTAGCCCTACCCGCTCTGGAATGTCCCGACTATGGGAGCACCCACCAAGTCTCACAATAGGTGGAATCCCAAATATGGGCTGTCATCTCCAGAGGACTTTTGAATATACTTTTTAAAAAAAACTTGCTTGAGGGCATGTGTACTTACTGGAGAGAGTTAGGGACAGAAAGAGAGAGAGAAAGTGAGAAAGCACCCCCATGGGGGTTGGTAATGCTGCAATCCCATCTCTGTTTCTTCTGTTGTGATTTTTGGGCATGCACACATGCATACCCAGTGTGTTTTTTCAAGTCCTATCCAGGACTTGAACCATATAATTGGCCATGTTGGATATAGCCACCTTAAACTCCAAGCCACCAGCTGGCCCTTGATATATTTTTCAAAGAATCATTCTGTTGGCGGTGGTGTGGTCTCCTGTGGTACTTAAACAGGCATCTATGGAACAGCCTGGTGATCTAACTAGTGTAGACTATATTCTCTCTTCGAGGGGGAATACATTGAGTTCCAAGTAATTTACAAAAATAGGGAATCATTGAACATTGATTCACATATTAAGTCTTTTTTAAAAAGAATGACCTATTTAATTTTATTTGTTATTACTATTTAATTTTTATTTTGACCAGCCAGAGACAGAGAGAGAAAGGAAAGTGAGAAAGCAAGCCGCGAGGTCTGAGACTTGAATCACAATTGGTCATGTGGGAGTCCAGCACTCTAACCACCACACCACTTAATGGCCCACATAGTAAATCTTAAATTCTAAATATAATCTTTACAACTTGGGGTATGAGATTAGCAATTTGGGATGCCAATGAAACTGGAATTCACTGGCTTCTAAGGACAGGCTAGTTAAAGGAAATGGATCTTGGAATCATTGGGGCCAGCAGGTGGTGTGGTGGTTAAGGACACTGTACTCCCACATGGCCGACTGTGGATTGAATCCCGAACCTGGCAGCTTGCTTTCTTTTTGTCTCTCTCTCACTCTGTCCCTCTTTGTTCACATAAAAATAAGTTAAATTAAAAAAAAAAAAAGAAACGTATTTAAAAATAAAAGGAATATACAGGAATACATATACATATAGCGCTACTTTTAATACATTTTTAATACATAAGACTGATTCAATCATTATAATAATCTTGTTGCAACAGAGAGCCAGGGAGGTTTGGGGATATACTAGCTGGATTCCAAGAATATTGCAGAAATTGTCTTGAAGCCCCTGAAACCCTTGTGAAAAGAGGAACGCAACTGCAAACACAGAGGACACAGAGTAGGACAGGACACTGACCTGCTCTAGATGTCAAACCCATGACCTAGTAAAAGCTGAATTCACCTTTCAGTAGAATATTTGCAGTTGTTTGCTTAATTTAAATTACTTACTGCAGTTTAACTACATACTGAGTATATTTTAACTTTTACTATAAAAACTTTGTGATGCTATTGCTACTATATTTCCTCCTAATTAAATATATTGCTTTTTAAGACATTCTAATCTTTTTATTGTCACAGAAGAATAATGCCAACCTGAAATCATTAAAGGCAGACAAGCCTGACTCTGAGGTAAAACCTTTTCCTTTGTAATTGTCTTAAATCTAATTTCACATTTGCATCAACGATGACAAGGCTGGTGTGATTAAAATGTGTGTTTTGTAGGAGCAAGCCAGGATAGCAAAGCTTGGACTCAAGCTGGGTTTGCTCACCTCCGACGCTGACTGTGAACTCGAGAAGTGGGAAGATCAGGAGAATGAGATTGTTCGATGTGGACGAAACATGTCCGGCATAGCCTATTCTCTGTACTTGTTTACTAGGTAAGTGTAGTTATATTTGATCTTTTTAAAATCAGTACATATTATCTGGTATGAAGAAAAAGTGCCATCTTAAATCACTCTAAGGTTAAAATCACTGGGACCAGCAGTTAGTGTAATGGCTATGTTGCTGGACTCCCACGTAGTCGACCGTGGTTCACGTCCCGGACCCGGTGGCTTAAAACTCACACCGGTCCCATGTGCGTGTGTGCCCAAGATCCCAAGAGGAGAATGGAGGAGAAGGGATTGCGGCGTGACCATCCCCCCTGGGGGGTGATTTCTCGCTTTCTGTCTCTCTGTCTGTCTCTGTCTGGTGAGTGCACGTGCCCTAAGGCAAAAACCTCTTAAAAAAAAATTAGTATCAAGTACAGGTAAGGCCCAGTCACAATAGTGAGAGCTGGTCAGCATTGTTACTCCACAGGCCAAGACCACTTGAAAGGCCCAGGTTCAATTCCTGGCCCACGTTAACATCTGTGCATAGTGGCATGCAACTGTAGCTCTAGCTACTTGGGAGACAGAGGTAGGAGGATCATGAGCTCACAATCAGCATGGGCAAGATAGCAAGATCCATTATGAAAAGGCCATGCAAGGTGGTGCATACTTGTGGTCCTATGTACTCAGGAGGCTGAGGTAGGAGGACGGCAACTTAATGAGATCCTGTCAAAAACAAAAACAAGAGGCCTAGACAGTGGTGCAGCAGTAAGACATGATGCTCTGTGAGTCCAGCCTACATGGGAAAGTTCTGGGTTTATGTCCAGAAACCTCCCTGAGTACCCTGGGCATGCTCAGGCCCATGATCTGGTGCTGGCTGAGACAGGAGGTGGATCACAGCGTTAGCACCCTGTTGGGAATGTGTGTGCTCTTTCTCTCTTTCTGTCTCTGTATCTCTCTTTTTTGCTCATGGAATAAATAAATAATTGAAAAAAAAAAAAACAGAACAAAATATAGGTCAAAAGACTAAAAGTATTTGTTAGGACAACTTATGTAAGTGAATCCAACAATAAGACACATGTATTTCATTAGAATTTATATTTTGAAGGGATTCTCTTCTAGGTTTGTGCCCCATTCTTTCTGTAATTTTGAAATAATTACACACCCTGCCTTTTGTCATCCTTGTTACCAGTGTCTCTCTCAGCCAGCATCAGTACATTTTAAAAAATGTGCCTTTTGAGCTAGCCAGTGGCATCATGATTATGGTGGCTGGATCCCATATGGCCAACTTTGTGACTTGAGTCCCAGACCCAGCAGCTTGAAAAACATGCCAGGTGTGGGTGTGTCCAAAACCCCAAAGGGAGAAATGGAGAAAGATTGCAATGTGACTACCCCATAGGGGATGCTTTTTCTCTTTCCTTTTCTCTGTCTCTCCAGTGAGTACATGCACCCTCTAGCAGAAATTAAAAAGAAAACATGCCTTCTGTATCTTTTTATGTGTATATGTATATATAATTATTATTATTCATACATTAAATAACTATACATCATTTATTGAAGAGACTTTACTCAGCATGATATACACCTCAGTCCAGCCCAGTTGAGACCACCATACACATCCTCGTCAACAGATAATAAACCTTATCTGTGTCCCACAAGTGTCTTACCTCTCCATTTCTCCCCCAAATTTCCTACTTTTTCTTCCCCTCTCACACTGTATTTCCATTTTGTCTCTAGTGTCCATTACGATTTTTAATACTTTTATGTTCTCCAGTCTTTCAGTATCTACTGTAGAGTACATATAGTCGGAATATGTTAAGTGGAGACATACAATGTCTCTCTTTCTTAGTTTGATTTGCTTCACTCAGCAACAGATCTTCTGTATTTGTCCACTTTCTATCAAATTCCAGGGTCTTGTTTTTGATGGCTGAATAGTATTCCATGGAGTATATATGCTACAATATTTCAATCCATTCATCTGTTTGTGGACATTTGGGTTGGTTACATGTCTTAGCAATGGTGAATAATGCTGCAATGAAAATAGTTGTGCAAGTGCTTTTCCAACTGAGTGCTCTCCTGTCCTTTGGGTAGATACCCATGAGTGGAATTGCTGGATCATATGGTAGTTCTATTTGAAGGTCTTTGAGGAACCTCCATATTGTTCTCCACAGTGGCTGGACCGATTTACATTCCCACCAACAGTGTGGGAATGTTCCCCTTTCACCACAACCCCTCAAACACTTATCATTATTTGTTTTTTTGATCTTCGCCATTCTGACTGAGGTTAGGTGGTATCTCATTGTGGTTTTGATCTGCATCTCCCTTAAAATGAGGGGATGTCCTATATCTTTATACAAGTGATTGATTAGACACAGATTGAAGAGCGAGCTATGAGACCTACCTCAGTAGGATGCCAGATTTCTGTGAGTCAGCATTGATTATATAGAAGAGAATTTCCCCAACTTTAGTGTTACCTGACCTGCATTGTCTTTCTTGTCCATTTTACAAACTCTTGATCAAATGCCTATTGAAGTCAGTAATCACATTACATTCTCACATTATAGTAACCTATCTATATGGTTAATTCTGCTTAACTGAGATCAGTTATTCACTCCCTAATCTGTTCTAGGCTTTTCTTAAGGAATGGCTTCAAACTTTGCATTCAGTTTCTTATATCTATCTTCTTCATTTTTTGGGAATCTGGAAAATATTTATCTCTAGGTTTCTGGCCTCTTCCCTACTCATTTTGACTTTGAAAAGATTATCAGCAGTGGGTACAACCTGCAAGTTATTTCAGTATTCTAGAAGGTAAACGCATGTTGGTCTAGAGACCACCTCAATTAAAGTAGTCAAGGATCACTACAACAGTATGGGGTTTCGGGCTTAATAATGGCACCACAGTTTCTACCTTTCTAAACAGAATGAAAAATAAGCAAATGATAGGCAGATGGGAGGCAGTAGTATTCATATTGATAAAACTGATATTGGGGAATGTAATTAATATCCATGGGCAAGTAGGTTTTAAAAAATGATGCCTAGAATTAGGAAGTCTTCATAGGGGCAGATATGTCGCTATAACACACATGCAAGAGCAGGTATCGCTTAAAGGTAGATTCACTCTCAAAGGAAAAAGGAGGGGCCACCTCATGGCAGGAAGGGATTACTAAAACTCTGAGGAATGGGACTTATGAGAATATGATTATTGGACAGGAACATGAAGTTCAAAAAAAGTAATTTTCTGTAATGGATAAAATGCCTGTGTTATTTTGGGTCAGACTTGGTAATGTAATTATCTCCTTGTGGTAAAATCTCAGGTGGGGGTTTGTTGGCTACCACATTGTATACTTGTTTCCCCTTCAACAGTCTCTTCTGTTTTCCCTGAAGACCTGTGGTTTATCAACCTCACATAAGCTCTTTTGAGACTTCTGAGACCGTTAGCCTTCACAGCATTGAGATTTGCAATTCTCCTTGGCAGTTTTATAACTCTTTTATAACTCTTCCTCAGGCTGTTCAAGGTTGTCTTAATAATTTATATTTAATTCATATTTCTTAATAATTTATATCTTAAAGATTTTCTAGTGCCTTATATTGGGTAATAAGAAAAATTGTAATGCATTTTTGCATAGAAAAACAGAAAAATACGTCATGATTTTCCCAACGACCTAATAGTTGAAAAAAACTTAAAACTTGATAGTGTCCCTTTTTGATTCAAAATAACATTTGATTTTGTTTTTGATTCTGCTAGAGGCCATGTGTGCTTGCCAGAGAGACAGAGACAAAGAGGGAGAGGAGAAAGTACCCTCCCACACCAGGGAGTGGTTACACTGCAGTTCCTTCTCCTCCATTGCTCCCTACCTTTTGCAATTTTGGACACACACATACACAGCCCTCTAGTGTGTTTCTCAAGCTGCCAGGTCCAGTCTTGAACTGCACGGTTGGCCATGTAGGATTCAGCTGCCTTAATCACCAGCCCATGGAGCCAGCCCAAATTTCATTTGATTTTTAAAATAGTTTATCAGCAAATAGGAATGACTTGTTCATATCTAATATCTATTAAGCGGCAGAACTAGATTCCAGATCTTCTAATCTATACCTAGTCCACTGCTCTTCTTAAGGCATTCTGTTATTCTCTTTGTTGTACTCTACTTTTTATTTTTAAGAGTCCTTCATTCTTCTCAGTAGCTTTTGTTGTTGTTGTTGTTTTTAATCTATTTCTTCTATGAGAGAGACAGAAGAAGATAGATAGGCATCTCCAACAGTGTCTTCAGCTGCAGTCCACTTCCAGCCTCAGCCAGCCAGGTTCATAGGCATAGGCATGCAAGGAGGCCTCTGGACAGAATCCTGGGATCTTCCCATGTGGGCCTCTGGACAGAATCCTGGGATCTTCCCATGTGGGCCCAGTAAGCCAGCGCACTGTTACTGCTGCACCACCAGCGGGCCCCTTCTTCGTAATTTTTAATCCAATATTCTCAGTCCCATATTGTGATGAATGTGGGGCACAAGCATTATGATCATTTTATATACTTATAATAGAAACATAAATGATATGCCTCATCAAAACTAGACATCTGTATTCCTACCAGATTTGAAGTTAGAATTAGGAATGAAATTTCCTTTGGTCTGATTCTCTTTCCATCTTCTTGGTTATAACATATTGTCACAGCTCATATAAAACAAAAGTGAAAAAGGTTAAAAAGGACAAGTGAACCTTAGATACAACTTGTCAGTTTTAAATTTATTTACATAATGAAATTAGCACTGTAATGTTCACTCAAACAAAGTATTATTATTGGGTTGTCGGAAAAGTCATGACACATTTTTCTATGTTTTCCTATGGAAAAATGTGTCTGATGATTCAATAGTTAAATATTAAAGTTGCTTTAAGAATAAAGTCACAATATTGTTTACTCGTATCGTTCTTAAAAATTTGGGATCTGTGTATACACAAAGTGCTCTAAACTTTAATATTATAAAGCCAATTTGCAGAGATTAACTTTTTGTTTCCTTTTTAATAATTCATTTTGTTTTAGAGGAGAAGGGCCACTAAAAACGTCCCAGGATTTAATTCATCAACTTGAGGTATGTTTTGTTTTCATTTTATGCTACTACTTTAATTCTGGGCTAAAAGTGAATAACAACTGTTTTTCTGAATTATTTGTTTAATTTTTAAATACTTATTTAATTTTATTCATTTTTAAAAAACTTTTATAAAAAGAAATATTTTATTTAACTTTATTTTAATTTGACCAGAGAGGGACAGAGCAAGAGAGAGAGTGAGAGCAAGCTGTGGGTGGGAGGTCTAGGATTTGAACTGCAGTTGGCCATGTGGGAGTCCAGAACCCTTAACGACCACACTACCTGCTGGCCCCATTATTATTTTTTTTTAATTTGACCGGAGAGAGAAGGAAAGTGAAGAAACATGCCACCAGGTCCAGGACTTGAACCACAGTCAGCCATGTGAGGTGTTCAGCGCCTTAACCACTGCACCACCTGCCAGCCCCTCTGGTGATTTATTGTATCTGTATGCACACACACATGTGCATGCACCTGCCTACTGCAGGTGCACACATCTGTGTGTTATAGAGAGTGGTAGGAAAATGGAAAGATAAACATTCAAGGAACTTTCTTGGTTATCTCATTAGAGAAAAACTTAATTAAAGGGATAAAGTAGACTTTATTGATTAGTCAATGGATACAATAATAAATCTTCAGTTTTCTATGTCGATGGAACCATCTCTAAGCAAATGCCAATCCTTTATACTATGAAGAATTCTAGAAAACTTTTTGGCTTCATTATTTAATTAGATGAATGATACTGATTAAAGCATCTGCCATAAGCGTGAGTCCATTGCGGGCACTCAGTACTTGTTCATATTCTTCTCTCCTTCCATAGTCATAACGATTTAGGACATTTAAAGAGACAGATGTGCTGACACCTATCTGTGTGTCCCATGTTTCTGGTGGAACTCGACAGGTCCATCCCTAACTCTCCTTTCTCTAGTTAGAGGCTTTAGGTTGACAGGTGGGTTACAACATTTCCCCCCTATTTTTCTTGACTCTTATGTTTGCTTCTAGAGCCTAGAGCATGTTGCCATTGAAATTTGAAATTTCTATCACTTTTGCTGTCTTACATAGTTTTCTTTGGCATTCCCATGTGCTTCTACCTGAATTTCCTCAGGTTAGGGAGTCCAGCTTAAGGGGATCATTGTCAACATGAGCCAAAGAATGAAAGAAAATATTCCTGGATGTTTCTGTAAAGTCGACTATAGATAAATGATTTCTCTTTAAAGAGCAGAATAATTTCTGGATTTACCCTATTCAGTTTGGTCCATGTCCATCTAAGTCATGTCACACTGGAGAGGGTGTTTTGTTATAAAAGGTAACTGCTTACCTTCTTCCTGTATGAGCTTATACATTAAACCAGTGTCTATTGAATTATCTCTAAACCATGATGAACATAAATGGGCATACTCAGTCAAGAAATAGAGCCATCTCCCCTACCCACAGGGGATATAATCCAAGATCCCCAGTGAATGCCTGAAACCATAAGTAGTAACATACTCTACATGTACTATTTCTTCATCCACATACACACCTATGATAAAGTGTAATTTACAAATTAGGCACAGTAAGAGATTAACTACAGGGACCAGAGGTGATATGGATGTTAAGGCAGTTGGATCCCACATGGCAGTGGGATCCCACATCAAACTATGATCCCCACTCATAGTTTGAGTCCTGGAACCTGTGGCTTGAAAAATCACACTGGGGGTGTGTATGCACCCAAAATCCTGGGAGAAGAGTGGAAGAGAAGGGATTGCAATGTCCTTCCCCCGCTTTGCTCTCTCTGACTAGTGCAGGTGCCCTATAACAAACTAAAAAGAGAGATGAATAATAATTAATAATCAAATAGAGCAGTTAGAACAATATATTATAATAAAAACTTCAAAATATATTCATATTTTTAGACCACAGTGAACTGTAGATGACTGAAACCATGGAGTGAAATTGCAAATAAGAGAGGATTGCTTTGTTCCTGAGTCTGTACTATATGTTGGACCTTGGGGATAAGAGTTCTGTGGTGAAGAGTGAACAAAGTAGATCTCCTGCCTGCACGGAGCTTATGATCTAGTGGCAGGAGACAGACAATAAAAAGTTAATTATGTAAAGCAGATATGCAAGTACTTAGATGAAATCATATGGGATAAGAATACAGAGATGATGAGGGTGGTGGTCAGAAAAGGCCTCTCGGGAACCAGCAGTTAGCGTAATGGCTATGTCGCTGGACTCCCACGTAGTCGACTGCGGTTCGTGTCCCGGACCCGGTGGCTTAAAACTCACGCCGGGCGCGTGTGCGTGCGTGCCCAAGATCCCGAGAGGAGAATGGAGGAGAAGGGATTGTGGCGTGACCATCCCCCCTGGGGGGTGATTTCTCGCTTTCTGTCTCTATGTCTCTCTCTGTCTGTCTGGCGAGCGCACGCGCCCTACAGTGAAAATCTCTCCAAAAAAAAAAAAAAAAAAGAAAAGAAAAGGCCTCTCCAAGGAGGTGACATTTGGGTAGAGACATAAATGAAGTGGGAGAGTGAGTCGGATGGTGGAGTGTTGGTCCTGAGATGTAGGGTACGACTGGGTGGACCTGAAGCATAGGAAGGAGACAACTGTAGATGGACTAGAGCCAGAAGGAAAGTGATAACATGACATCTCTACACGACAGGCTGTGGAAAGAATTTTGACTCTTATTTTTAGGCATGAAGTCACTCATTAAGGGTTTTGAAAAGCAGTGGGGGAACCAGCAGTTAGCGTAATGTTTATGTCGCTGGACTCCACGTAGTCGACCACGGTTTGCGTACTGGACCCGGTGGCTTAAAACTCACGCTAGGCGCGTGTGCGTGAGTGCCCAAGATCCCGAGAGGAGAATGGAGGAGAAGGGATTGTGGCGTGACCATCCCCCCTGGCGGGTGATTTCTCGCTTTCTGTCTCTATGTCTCTGTCTGGCGAGTGCACGCCCCCTATAGCGAAAATCTCTCAAAAAAAAAAAAAAGCAGTGGCATGATCTCATTTATGGTTTTAAAAGTTTTTGGCTTGACCCACAGGGTAGATGGTAGAGCCATTTATTGAGATAGGGAACACTGAGAAAGCACCAGATGTGGAGAGTGGAAGTCAAGCATTTGTTCTGCTGAAGTAGAATATATAAGATCAGTGTCACGAATTCAGGTGGAGAGAGAGAGATGTGAGATTTATCAGCCTTAAGGTGTTATTGAAACCATGACACTCTAGAAGACAGACACAGATTTTGCCTCCAAGGGTTTGCAGCTGGAAAAAATGAGAAGACATGCAGACTAGAAAATGGTAATGTGGAACGATGAGCACATGGGAAAGCGAAACCTTCAGTTTGGTTAGTCTAGACATAAAGCTCATTGGTTTCCCTTTGAAGGACATGGAAGGAAGCCTCACTTATCCAGTGATAGCAAGGAGTTAAAGCTTTTCAACTGAGGGTAAAAGTTAACGCTGGAATCGTTACCTCCTTTTCTTCATAGTCTTTATCTATTATCTATTATAGTTGGCTAACAAAATCTGTTATTTTTCTTCATAAGCACTCTTAGATTTTCCCTGTTCTCTTCATTACTGCTGTCATCTAAAGCTGAGATGTCACTCTTTTACTCTTTAGGTATCTCTCACTCTAAAATACTCTACCGTTTTCATATTTCTATCTTACGTGTCTAACCTTACAGTTCATTGAGGTTCTCCATCATCCTGTTCTGCTCACTACCTTGTAAAAAGCATGGTGCATGGTGCAGAGTCAAAACCAACCTGAAAACAGTAGTAAATAACAATGTGAGTTGGTGCTTTTGGAGAACTGGTGATGGGATGAGTATGAGTGACCAGGTGTTTTTTGTTTTTTTTTTTCCCCTCTGTTATTATAGATGGAAGCAAGATTATAACTCTTTATATTTATAAAAGATTATAAATATCTCTTTTGTTGGGGATATGAGATGAGCTCTGGATCCCTCCAGAAATCCAGACATAATTCAGGTGGACAAGTATCACAGGACTGAGTGACATTTGAGAATAATTAGAGGACTTAAGGGGATTGAGTCCTATCAGTTAAGTCTGGGAAAGCGCCTGAGTGCAGTTAAATTCTTGTGTTTTCCTGGGTATGAGTCAGAGTTCCATGACAGATTATTACATCTCTAGGTTTTAGTTTTAAAACTCTATAAACATTATTAACGAGTTTATTTCTTACTAGGTATCCATAAGACAACAATCTAAACTGGTGATGTTTTCTCTTTCTATCAGGTTTTTGCTGCAGAGGGTTTAAAACTTACTTCAAGTATACAAGCTTTTTCAAAACAGGTAACACATGTCTACCTGCCTAGAACTGGTGGTGGTGTTATGTACACTCACTCTGGGGGTACATTATTAAGGTATTAGGTATTTAAGTTGTAAAAGATGGAATTTTGATGAGGTTGTTATAACTTCTTCAATTATATTTCAGCTGAAAGATGATGACAAGTTTATGCTTCTCCTGGAAATAAATAAGTTAAATCCTCTCTGCCACCAGCTACAGACAATAACTAAGACATCATCACAGAATAAAGTGTTTCTAAAGGTAAAAGAGAGGGCGGGTTATTTAGATAGACACCTGGGGAACTTTCACACTTCCATCAGGTTAGCTCTGGCCCCTTTTTCTTCTAATAAAGTACTAATATCCACAGAAGGGCAATTTATTTCCATTTTTCATGGCTTGATTGTAAGAATCATTTATTATCTGCTTTTATAACTGACCCCAGGGAACAGCAGGCTCAGTACATAAATTTACTTTTTGGACATGATTAATTCCATAGTCCTAAGCAGCTCCCCTTAAATATGAACTCATCGGGACCAGCAGTTAGCATAATGGCTATGTCACTGGACTCCCACGTAGTCGACCATGGTTCGAGTCCCGGACCCGGTGGCTTAAACTCACACCGGACGCATGTGCGTGCATGCCCAAGATCCCGAGAGGAGAATGGAGAAGGGATTGCGGTGTGGCCATCCAATTGGGGGGTGATTTCTCGCTTTCTATCTCTCTGTCTCTCTCTGTCTGGCGAGCGCACGTGCCCTATAGCAAAACAATTATATTTCAGCTGAAAGATGATGACAAGTTTATGCTTCTCCTGGAAATAAATAAGTTAAATCCTCTCTGCCACCAGCTACAGACAATAACTAAGACATCATCACAGAATAAAGTGTTTCTAAAGGTAAAAGAGAGGGCGGGTTATTTAGATAGACACCTGGGGAACTTTCACACTTCCATCAGGTTAGCTCTGGCCCCTTTTTCTTCTAATAAAGTACTAATATCCACAGAAGGGCAATTTATTTCCATTTTTCATGGCTTGATTGTAAGAATCATTTATTATCTGCTTTTATAACTGACCCCAGGGAACAGCAGGCTCAGTACATAAATTTACTTTTTGGACATGATTAATTCCATAGTCCTAAGCAGCTCCCCTTAAATATGAACTCATCGGGACCAGCAGTTAGCATAATGGCTATGTCACTGGACTCCCACGTAGTCGACCATGGTTCGAGTCCCGGACCCGGTGGCTTAAACTCACACCGGACGCATGTGCGTGCATGCCCAAGATCCCGAGAGGAGAATGGAGAAGGGATTGCGGTGTGGCCATCCAATTGGGGGGTGATTTCTCGCTTTCTATCTCTCTGTCTCTCTCTGTCTGGCGAGCGCACGTGCCCTATAGCAAAAACCTCTCCAAAAAAAGAAAAAAAAAAGTGAACTCATCACCTATCTAATGAGGGCACTAATATCTCAGAGGCTGGGCTCCCATAACTTATTATTTTTTTTTTTTTGGAGAGCCATTATGCCAACTGCTGGTCCCAGGCTCCCATAACTTATGAGAAAGAATACGAGCTTATGCCCATCATGCAGAGTGTAAAGAATAGCTAAGTAGAGGATTCACTTTCAAGCAGAACAGTTGATTTTCTACCCTTCTTCCTGGGGGGTTCCATGACTCTGGGACGAGACCTAGGCAGCAACCCCTGCACCTGTGTTCTGGGGCAACTCAGCTCATGTACCCTAATCCATGTATCTTAGATTTCCATGATGGATAAATTTTATCATTTTAAAATGAAATAAAAGATAGTTTTTGACTGTCACATTTGGAATTTGATTTGTATACTTTCTTCACTCTAGGTTGACAAATGTATTACAAAGACAAGGTCCATGATGGCCCTCTTGATCCAACTTCTCTCACTTTGCTATAAACTACTGAAGAAGGTGAGTTAGTTTCTCTGTCTCGAAGTCACATATTTTTTAATAAAAGAAAAATGCTAAAGAAAGTAATAGTTACTAAAGTTTGCAAAAATATTTTCAGAGTAAGCCCAAACTGATTGTGTTAACTCTTTCTAACTTCAGATGGAAAATAACAGATGGGTCTCAGTTACAAATAAAGACATCGTGGACGGTAAAACTTGAGAAGCTTTTTGGGTCAGATCTCTGGACCATCATGCGGCAAAGCTGACGTTTTAAAAAAGAAAATGATCCTTTATATTTTTCAGAAATTCAACTATTTTATAAAGAAAACAATATTGAAATCTCACTTTTTTTCTGATCATGAAACCACTTGTGAAGTTCTCTGACAACTAATAAATGCCATGGTAGTTTGCTAGAAATCTAATTGCAGTGTGATTTAAAAATGAAACATTGCACTAGTAATGTTCTTTAAAGTCGAACCAAATATCTCAATTGTCTTAATGACAATTTAATCCAAAGAAGCTATTTTGAATATCTGCTCACCTTTGGTATTTTTTACCTTAACTGTTTTCTTTCCTTATTTAAGCTTGTCATATTGAACACTAATTTCAGCAGAAAATACACAGTGGTCTTGGTGTGATCAAGGGCCTTTTTGACGCCTGTCCTGTAGCGGGTCATTCGTGCTGGCAGTGTGTCTGTTCTCTAATGGAGCGTCTCACATGAGGTTATCTGCTGGGCTGTGTGTGTCCCTCTCCTCCCCCAAAAGCTGAGTCACGGAACTCATGCCACAGGACCCTGGAGCAACTCCTGGAGGAGAGGGGATGGTTATCTTTCAGTTCTAAGAACTCTAGCACAGCTGACCAGTCTGCCCCAAATATTAGTTGGCATCCTAAGCCTATTTTATTTTGGAACTATCCTCAGTATTGATTGATGGAAGTTTTAAAAAAAAAAAAAAAAGAACCATGAAGCTGTTTAAAATCTGAATAATCATGCATTTTATATACGTGGCTTTAGAATGTTCATTATAAAACAAAATAAACATCTCTCTCTGGTCTTTTTAATTTCAGGATTTAAAGCTTTTTTTCCTTCGTGGGGTTTTTGTTTTAAATTTTGTTGCAGGGTGTGTGTGCTTGTCAGAGAAAATGAGAAAGTGCCCCCTTGAGTGGACGACTTCTCCTCCATTCTCCTCTTGGGATTTGGGGCATGCACGCACACATATCCGGTGTGTTTTTCAAGCCGCCGGGTTCAGGACTTGAACTGTATGATCGGTCATGTTGGATCCAGCTACTTCAACCACCACAGTACCAGCTGGCCTGGGGAGGAGTTTTTATGAAGGATCTGGTTTATAGGTTTTCTTCTTATGATACAGGATGGTTAATTTTTAGACTGCTTTACAGTGTTTGTATCCCAATGCTTTGAAATTAATTTTGAATTCTAACAGAACATGTCAGTTGCCAAATGGCAGTAAGTAAGCTTGTCTGATGATCTTGATGTGGGTCAGACATCACAATTATATTCACAAAAGATCCTGAAAAACCATAGTACTACCAAATAACTAGTCAGTGGTTTACTGAAGAAAGTGGTTTACTATAGCCCTCAGAGAGAAAATGGATATTCAGCCTGGTTAAGGACGTTTATAAAATACTTCCTTAAACAGAAATCATCAAGCATGATTTTTTTCCCCCTGAAATCAAAATACTCTTAAATTACAAAAGAAAGGGACAACATGAGGTAATGTAGAAAGTAAAAGAGAAACAATCTTTTACTCCCTTTAATATCTGTTTTATGACGTCTTCATGCCATTGTGCTACATGATGTGGGGATCTGCTGGTCTGTGCTGACATTTCACACATAGCACCTGCACTACAGGTGTTACAGTTACAGCTCCTATCATGTGTGGCGGATACATGTAGGGGATAGTCATGGTGGCACTCAGATTTCAGTATTTTTTGTTTTGTTTTTGCCAGAGGGTGCATGCATTCACCAGAGAGGTAGAAAGCACCTCTTTGATGGAGTATGGTCACACTGTAATCTCTTCTGCTGTTTTTTCCATCCTATTGAGGTTTGAGGCATGAACACACATGTCTGGTGTGTTTTTCAAGCCCACAGGGCAGGTATTTGAACCATATGGTTGGCCATGTGGAATCCAGTGCTCTTAACCACCAGGTTAGGGGGTCTTCACAATAGAACTTTTTCTTGTGAGCCAAAGACATCTTTTCAAAAACAGTGTATCAATTTACCTCCTCTGTGAGTGAGACAGAGAAAGGGGAAGAGAGGGAGCAGGTCCACCCACTCTTAGCCCTGTTAGTCCCAGATCATGGGCACTGAGGGAGGTCTCCAGATTTGAACCCAGAATCCACATAAGTCAGCCTCACAGAGCATCGTGGTTCACTTTTGCACTGCCATCCAGTCCTGCCGAAAATAATGATTAAGTTTTAGTTATAAAATACTCTTATACATACCTGAAAAGAGAACGTTCCCTTATGAACATGCAAGAAGAGATAGGGAAGGGATGACTTTTGACTTCAAAGCATAAAAGGAGAGAGGACCAAAGGAATTTACACATATAGTGACTTCTTTTGTGTAAAACTTTATTTAAAAACAGATATTTAAATGTTTGTATGTGTTGCAGCCCTTAAGAGAGAATATAAAAATTTAAAGTCCTTTTATTTGAAACCCAATATAAAAAAAGCATTGCAATCTTAAATTTTTTCAAACTTTAAATGATGTGAAAA